ATTATGGCAAACTAATTATCGCAGAGCTCAAAGAACAAGCCATTCAGTAAGGAACATTCAATCATTAATTATGCTTCTAAATATCACCACCAGTCGCAAAGGAGAATTCTGGAGGAGCTTATATGTTAGGGAACTCATGGCAAGATGTGTGGGTCTAGACTTAAGTGATGCATAGCGGGTCATGTTTAAACCACCAACGGGACAAATATGGCAACACACTTAGTGTGTTTTTAGTGAAAACTCAACATTTCGCAGCTACCAGCCCGAGATGGTGATCAGGTGGGCACAGTCTTACGAGTCTGAAGGACTGAAGTAATGGAGGCTGCTTGATGGAACCCTTGAACTTCTGCATAGACTTGATTTTCATCCCCCTACTAGGGAGGTGGAGATCAGGACTGCAGTTTGAGGCCAGGCCAGGGAGAAAAGAGTTTGTAATACTTCATCTTGATCAAAGGCTGGGCACAGCGGCACACGTCTATCACCCAAGGCCAAAGGGAAAGCATAATAGCTAGGTGCCATGTGAGGAAGTACAAGCAGGATTGCATAACAGGCTGCCTGGGCATACAATGAGACTATTTTGAAAATAATCAAGACAAAAAGGGGCTGGCAGGGTGTCCCAGAGGTGGCACAGTGTCTGCCTAGCAAACACAAGGCCTTGAGCAGAGAGCTCAAAACTCTGATGTGGTTAAAAAAGAGATTTGAGTTTCTTTATTAATGCTGCATAATTCAAAGTATATCCCAAATATGTGCAGGAATCATATTTCCAACACCAACATCAATTCCTTTCTTTCTTTTTTTTTTCTGGTGCTGGGAATTGAACCCTGAGCCTCAAATAAGCACCATAACAACTGACCAAATCTCCAGAGCACTACCTCGGTAACTATTAACATTATGACCACAGTGGTTAGCAACAGATGTGTGCATCTGTTTATGTTGTGTGCACGTAACTCTGCCTTGTTTTCTCAAATTGCTAGTCTATCATCATAAAGACTCTGCACAGTCATTAAATGGCCCTAGATGAACCCACTGAGTAAATAAGCCCTTTAGTAAATGCAGTACAACCTTGTATTAGTTGCCATATTATTGGAAATTGAGCCAGGTACTCATGGCTCTTGCCTGTACTTGTAGGTACTCATGAGGCTGAGATCCAAAGATCTGGTTCAAAGCCAGCCCGAGCAAGAAAGTCCTTGAGACTCTTATCTTTAATTAAATACCAAAAAAGCCAAAAGTGAAACTGTGATTCAAGTGGCAGAGCAGTAGCCTTGAGCGAAAATGCTCAGAGACAGTGCCCAGGCCAGAAATCTAAGCCCTAACAAATGAACAACCCAAGAGAAATCCACAGTCTTCAAGAGACCACATAAAAGCCAATGAAGACACAAATTAGCGACATTTGCATTTGGAAAATAAGAAATTCATTTTGAAAGGAGAATACTTTGTGAAATTAGTATATGTCCAAAAGTCATGCTGGATATTTGTGTGATGCAGAACTGAATGGATGAAGTTATTGTGCTGGGGACCATGTAACATTCTTGCAATGTCCCTCTCTTCATTGTGTACTTTTTCCATTGGGCAGATGCTGGTTTTTTTGAGATTGTTTAATTAGTAAAGGTGCACTATTCACTACACCTTTGAAAACTTTGCCCTTTAAAGCAATGAATGTCCTGCAGCCATCTAATTCCAATACCAATTTTCTTAATGAGGTGTTAATTACTCTAACTAAACGATGCTATTGCAGACTAACTAGGACATGATACCAGCTCATGCCAGTGAACCCAGTCTTCTGCTAAACGTATTCCAGGCCAATTCCAAAGGTGTGCCCACTCATTTTACACACACACTAGGATTCTTCTAGCCTCTAACCTCTCCCTTCTCCCAAATTAGTCCTTATAAAAAAATGACATCAAAGGCCCAAGGATTTTCAGTTCTTTTTCTGCTATTTATATCACCATACTTTTTGATAAAATGAGTTTGGCTTCTTCTTCTCCTTCTTGCTTCTTCCTCTTCTCCTTCCTTTCTCCATACTCCTCTACCTTCTCCTCCTTAACAAGGAAGTCAATTTTCATCTCCAGTTATTAGTAATATAGCAAAGTGGGAGATGCAAAGTATCCATTTGTTAATTCAGCAAGTATTTGCTGAGGTGGTTTTGAGGTAGACCAAGAGGAACCTGCAGACATGGACTAAGCTCATCCCCTGAGTCTTTGTTCCTGCAGTGTGTGTGGAGCCTGGACTGGCATCATTTATACAGGGTATGGAACCCACTTTCTGTTCTACAGCAATTCCTCACATTCTCTCTCTGATCCAGATGGATCCTTTAGCTATAAAATGTAATTTCTATAATCTGACAGGATTATCTTATCTCCTAAATTGTAGTGAGTAACTAGGGAAAATATATGTGATGTGTGTATGTATGTGTATAAAATGTATAAAATCTTGTTATATTCAAAAACATTAGGGCATAGATTAAATCTTAATGAATTAAATACATAGCTTCACAAATTGACATTCATCTAAAGGCAAGTCATTCATGATAATGAAATAATGGAAAAGTCAGGAGACCATAACCCCTGAGCTTCATCTAGCATACCCTCCGCGTGTGTGTGTGCATGTGTGTTTGCGGGGGAGGCGTTGGTTACTGAGCTAGTGGAGCTAGCTATGGCTAGTGGAGCCACAGCTCCACTTCTGACGTTCTGGTGGTGAACGAGTCTCACAGACGGTCTGGTCTAGGTGATGTGCATCTCACCCTCCACTCCCGGATATATCTTCAGGCTCTCATACTGCTCAGCTATACTTAGAATGACTTCTGGAGGAGCCGGATGACTTACGGCACTGTGACTTGGCACCTTATGATTCAACGGCTTTCTGTGCTAGTATCTTTTCTGCTCTTACTTGGCTGTCTGTGTAAGTTAAGGTCTGTCGAAATCTAAAGACACTCACGGTTTCCATGCCTGTTAACTATTGTTAGCTTTCCTTGCCATTCATTCTGGTCATTCACTGGGATGGAGATGAGTTCTTGGAAGCAGGACTTTGTACCTGGGAGGCCTAAAATATTTTTTTTCCTTCTGCAGAGGAAGTATGCTGTGCCAGTGATCCAACTGGGACAAAGTCCTTAAAATAACCTGGAAGTGTCCAGGGGCTTCTTGTCTCTGCTCCAAGCCTTCTTCTCCTTAGAGGTAGAGAGCTTTGGACGTTATACCACCTGGAAGCCTTCCTGGTGGGTCAGGAGATTAACAACCTGATCGGCAGACATGACCGTGAGGGCCTTTACTTGCTTCCTGAAGCACTTCAATGGGAACTTGTGATCAATGTGCAGGTTGTCTCCCCTGCAGTCACAGGCTATGAGTGTATGCTGGCATGCACACCAGGCGAGAATTAAAGAAGTGTCTGCTTGGCTGCTCCATTCTCTATTTATTTTCCCCTTTAATTGACAATGGCTCACCCTGAGCCAGATGACTGTAGGTAGCCACTTCTGAATCAGAAGCAGGCTTCTAAAAATTAGTAAATATGAATTCACTTTATTCAATATATGAACAGATGTGGCCAGATACTCCTAACAAGAGATATTCAGGTGGTAAAAATTCTCATGCATATTCATTCCAGAGGCCAAGGAGACAGTGGAGATTCTCCTTAGAGTGCTTTGGAGTAATAGGATATGAAATCTACCCTGTGTCTTTTGCTCTGTGTCATAGCAAGCATAAGAAGAAACTAAGGGGAAGACGCTGTACCACAGAGTTCCATCTTGCCTGGTTCTTGCTAGCTCTGCCTCGCAGATCACCTGTAAGTGTACTCGAGCAACAACCCTGTGAAATCTGGTTCCTAGTGTGATTCCCTCACTACACCACATCACGGAGAAAATGAAAAGTCCAGCACGAGCTTCTGGGGCAGAAAGACCAGCTCTGAACCTGTCCCATGTGGCAGGGTTGAGGGACCATGGGTAGAACACTGAGATCTGACCTGATTCCACCTTATTTGGACAATGGGAATGACCTGCTGCTTCTAGTCAGCTCATGTAAACGGAAAAGAGTGATCAGGGATTTGCCAAACTGAATGGATTATCATTGTCTATAAAGTTTTAATAGTTAAAAACAGCTGTTCAATAAGAATTTGAAGGTTCAACTGATCATTCAAAGGATCATTTTTACATTGATGGACACAAGTCCATCGTGTTTAGACAAAGAATGGTCTGTGTACGGTGGGTGTTGGTGAGTAACAGAACAAAGGAGACCATTTCCGCACCAGATCCGAATGTATGGCCTGCTTGGGAGTGGAGCTGTCAAGAACTTTGATTCTGAGGTACCACTCAGAGTATCTTTACCTCCAGGGAGAACTTTTCTCAGGGATCAGAATACGGAGTAATTTCCAACATCACAATATAAAACTTACGTTTTGGTATGGTCAGCCCTTTTCATTTCCCAAGCACCTGGCCTAGATGTTTCTAGCAGACACCCATGGAAAATGATAGGGCAAGCAGAGGGTGGAGGTAGGAGAATGAACTGTGGTAGCTGGATCTCTGTGTACCTGTAGACCTTCCCTCCCCTACTCCCTTGTGATACCGTAGCTTTCAGAGTGAAGTCAACGGAGCTGGTACCCAGGAAAACAGCCGAAGGACTCTCAAGAAAGAGCAGCCACCACGTTAGCACAGATCCTCCTCAGGGACTTATTAAAAGAAGAAGAGGACACACACTTTATAGAACATTTTCTGTGTGAGATGTGTTGTCATAAACTATAAACTTGTGCCAGAGTAATAAATTAATCCTAAGACACCAAATAGTGTTATCATACCCTGGATAATTCACTTTCCTTCATAAAACTGCTGCCAGATGGTAAGTGTGGTTTCCTCTGGAAAGAGAACCGGAGGGTCAATCTCATCACAGTAAATTCTGGGATGCAGGATGTGCCTATGACGTCACACTCTTGGGGCCATGAGACGGCAGGGGATTTGCAAGCCTTCCTGGTTCTTGTGTCTGTCTTACACGCCATCCCCCGGGTACTTGTCAGCGTACCTGCGCGTGCGGTGGAACTGGCATCTCTTCAGGGGAATCTTGGCCAGGTGCTCCTGCAGCCCCACGAACAGGACGCTCTGGCTGTGGAGGATCTTCAGGCTTCTGATGGGCTCCCTCCTCCGCTCTGGGAAGAGCTCAATCTCCTCCAGCACACAGCTGCCTGTGGTCTGATTCAGGGGTGCCCGAACTTTCTTAATGGTTCCGTAATCTGTGGAGGCAACAAACACAGAGAGGTAAAGGAATGAGGTCAGTATCTTGCAATTAAAAGTGGAGTGCACTTATTTGTGGACCTGGTGGTGCACCATTCCTGCGGGAAGGAAACAATCTGAGAATGAACCATGTGGACAAATGGTCCAGGAAGCCAGCAAGGGCTCAGTGCAATTGGCATCTATGTGGGGGAATTCATGCTCGAGGCATGAATTTCTCCTCGGTACCCTGTGCTGTGATCTGCACAGACATGTAGAACAAGCACCTTCAAAACTCATCACCAAGGACCTGGGGTCATCCTGAGTTCACAAACACACCACCACCACCATGGTCCCAAGTTTGAAGTCATCACAATTCATCTTTTGTGAATGTTAAATGAATGCAGTTAAGAAGTTATCCTAAAGCCAGAAGCAAAATCACGAACCTTTGGCTTGAAGGAACTCCAATCAATCAAGCCCGAAAACTCTGGACAGAACACACATTTTTTTAAAACCTCTAAACATTCTTAGAGACTCAGGGTATTTATGATTAAAGAGCAAATGTATTACAAATGTTGCATACAAGAATTGTCCTGAATTTCCTTAAAGCTTTAAGAAATTAGTGCGAATGTGCTTAAAATACCTGAAACATCCCTAGTGAACATTTACTGACCACGAGTGACATAATATTACTTCTAACATATGTTTTGTATTACTTTAAAGGAGCCAATACTTCACTTTTGAAAAAAGGTCAATCATATACCAAACATGCTGCATACAGGGGAGATTTTCCAACGTTGGATGGCATTTCAGCCAATCCACAGGTCCAAAACAAGAAAGTGTAAGAAAATGTATGCCTTTTCTCTGTAACTTCCTTAACTTAGACTCATTGACCCAAGTTCACAATCTGGGAGAACTGAACCACCGTGATGTTGGGTCTTTGTGCCCGGGTTAGGGCAAGTGACTTCAGCACAGATGTCTCCACCACCAGACCCTGCTAGGAGGTCTGCAGGAGGCACGGGCAGATGGAGAGGCCAGCTTCCCCAGAGCAGTGACAGGAGGGCCTTCCACAGCCCTTGGGATCATCATGGTGACAGCAGGCCTGTCAGCCCAACCTGGAGGTTAGGAGCTGAAGCCAGGGGCTGCCCCTGCAGGCAGGAGGACTAGTGGGAGACCCCTGGGTGAGGTAGCATTTATTTGGGGGGGGGTGTCTTTTTATTATTGTTTTCTTCAGGTAGTTGTATAAAAGGGTTTCAATGTAACATGTCTATTTCTGTGTACAGTGCATCTTGAACAGAGTTTCCCTTTCTTCCTCCTCATCTCTTCTCACCCATCCCTGCAACTTTCTTGTTCTGTTTTCAAAGATGATCACCGAGATGTTGACTATCCTCCTGTGTTCTTCCACCATTTATCTTTTCATTCTTCATTCCCCTCCTTTCGGCCTCTACCACCTCAGTGAAGACATGGTTTTAGCTTTCTGGTCTTCACTTTCTTAACCTGTTCATTGTTCAGGGGATTACATCATGGGATCTGCCTCGTAGGAAGACCATTCTCTTCTCTGTCTGACCAGGTATATATGTATATGCTCGTGTATATACTTCCGATGTATTTTCATTTCATGTACACCTGCCTGAGGTCCCTGGGCCTGACTTACTTCATTCAATATGGTATTTTTCTGCAGCCATTTTCCAGGCAGGATCTTCCATAGCAGCAGTTGCTGCAGGTGCAGGGCTATGCAACTGGGGCCTAGCTAGAGATTCATCATGGGTACCTGTAATGCCGCTTTCTCCCCAGCCAAGCTTGGCAGGGAAAGCATGCCTTTCCTGCCCCAATGACTGAAGTGACCTCTGCATGCTTATGATTTATTTTGTCTCTGAGAAACCACCACAAAATGGCAACTGCCCCGATATCAATAGCAGATGCATTTAAAATTCTTAACCAAGGTATGAGAAAGAACTGATTTTTATAAAAGCTTAAAAAAAATGTGTCAAGTTAGCCATCATTGATCAAAAACTTTTACCACAAACAACCTCCACATCTTGTACCTGATTTCCCAGCTAATGGCTGCCAGCAAAACTAGAGGACTTAGCATTTCAGAGAAAGGTGCTTAGCGTGGGTTCTGTATTGGTCTATCCCTCAGGGTTCTGTTGTATCTCACTCATCCAGAACACCTGGTCACGTGCTGAGTCCCTTCTGATGTCCTTCAGCCTCAAGGTCAGCCCACCACGACCCTTATGTGCACTGCAGGAGCTGCTGCTTCTTTCCTCCCAGCCTTTCCTTTTCCCGCTGTGCCTCAACCCGGTTCTGGTCTCACACTCAGCGTCATGGTCTTACTCTCCCGTGGTGAGCTGCAGGGTAAGGATAAGCCCTATCTTGCTGCTGAGAGTTGGCCTTGTTCTTGAAGCCGAGCATTGTATGTGAGTAGAGAGAGCAACTTGCCCTGTCACCTCCAGCGTGCCTCCCCTCCTGCCGTGCCGGGTTGGGGACAGTGGTGCCATTACCTGCACTGCTAACATCTAAGCCCCACATCCCACCGGGCAGCCCCGTCTCAAAATCACCAGGGTTCATCCACCCACCCACTTCCACTGTCCCCTCACTTCCCTTACTTGAGTTTAGGACACCTTTCTTTCTTTTCTGGGTTTCTTAAGAACTGTGCTTACTGTGCTCATGTCAACTATGGTCACCACTGGACATACATTTGACGAGGCCATTCCCTCACTCAAACACTCTACGTGATACCACAGACAGGAACAGGTCCCACGTGGGTTACAATGGACCCAGCTCCTCTCAACTGCACCCTATGTCCACTGTTCGGATGCACCAGCCTCCTCCGGGAAGCACACAGAGCACCAAGCAGCATGACTGCCACGGCCCTGCTCATGTGGTGACAGATGGCAATGCCATCACTTCTTCCAGTGCAGAGTCCAGCCTAAAAGACTACAAAGTAGGGACTCCATTAGACTGCAGCAGGACAGACAGCACAGCTCTTTACAGTGAGTCCTCACAGATTTATTCTAGTTGACTTGTTTGGTAATTTCTATACTTGGTTGACTAAAAGCCATAAGCTCCACAGGTGTAAGGATTATTTTTCTAGTGTCTATGTGCTATCTTGGCCAGCAACCACTTAATGCCTCAAAACATTTGTTGAGTGAAAATTGCTCCAATGAAGGAGGGAGGGAGGGAAAGGAAGGGAGGAGGAAAGAGGAAAGGATAGGGGGGAGGATAGAGAGGAACAGGAATGAAGAGCAGAAGAAATGTTGGTTTGGATTGAAGGTGTCATTAATAATGATACCTTCCCCCTAATGATCTTTAGTGAGAATGATGTCTGTCAACATGAAGGTGAAATAAAATTTCTCTAAAATTGATAGATTTCAACAACAAGTGCCACAAAGTAAATGTGAATGGAGAAAATAATTATAATTGGTTTCATCTGATATAATATTGACACTGAAAATTTGCTATAAAAAATAAAACCACACACATCTTCTACACATCTCAAATTTAATAATCTAACCAAAGCCATTCACAGGGGAAATAGAAGCGAGAAGTACATTGAATCTGAATCATCCAGAGGTCAGTACAGAAAGGAAAACTGTCATTTCCTTGTCAATTGCAGCATGTGTGCATGCACGCACATGAATACACACACGTGAGCACACACACACACATCTGTCAGCAGAGGAGGAGAATGTTATACGAAGCCACTGAAATGGAACTAGCATCAGGGCACAAAGAATGACTACCACTCGAGCAAAATAATTCAGGATATTTGCATTTTTGTGGCAATCTCAACTAATAATTATGTGACAGACACAAGACTGAGTGTCATTCATTTGTAGTTTATCTTTCGACTTGAAAACTATACGCACTGATCATGTCTCCTTGTGTCTACTTCATATAAATAAGTCTCCTAAAACTGATTGTGTGTAGTATGTTGTGATTTGGAACCTAGGAATCACTGTTATTGCACAAAGGCATCATTACATATTATGGTCAATTATACAATTATGTCATTTGTGTTGAACAACAACATGTTTATGTCATACGTTGCCAGATTAAAAATGCAATGCTCATTGAAATTTGAATTCTACATAACTGTGAACAATACTTTAATATTAAATGTCCCTTTCAGATTTTCTGTGATATTTACATTTAATTGTGCATCCTGGACTCCTGGAATTATTTTTATTTAAATATAAGTAGTAGGACTTGAACGAGCTTTTCTCAGTGTTTTTTGCTCAAAGCTGGTACTCTATCATGTGAGCCACACCTCTACTTCAGGCTTTTTGCTGATTAACTTGCCTGGGTTGGCTTTGAACCTCAATTCCCAGATCTCAGCCTCCTGAGTAGCTGGGATTATAGGTGAGAGCGACTGCACCCAAATGTTTCCCATATTTTTGTTTGCTCAGGCTAGAAAGCTATGATACCAAATCCCACTGACCTTGTCAGCAAGCAAGCAACGATTAGCAATAACGTGAACTAACATGAGTGTTCCCATGTTGAAATGTGACCTTGCATTTCAGGGAGTAGGTCCAATAAAACTTCGCTATTCTTTGTAGATGTGGGTTTATCACTGCAGAGTCCAGTAAATGAACAACTGATGTATAAGTGTTATTGAGCCCAAGCCTAATTGGACTTACCAATCAGTGTCAGTGCTTCCAATCCCATGAGATTGTGAAGCCAACAAGAGGCTTAACTAATGAAACAGCACCCTCAATTTGATTCATTTTTAAAAGGATATTTTAAGATGAGCTTCAACAGTTAACTCTACAAATTAGATCCTAAAATACCATTTTCTCTCTTTTGTAAGTTCTAATGTGTACAAAGCAATTATTAGTGGTTCTAATGATCTATTTTTGGCTTATGTTTTCTTATTTTCAATATTCAAGTGGCTAAAGTAGGTTCAAGGTTTTCAATGAGATCCTATTTTTCATCATCATCATCGTCATCATCATCATGGTTTATTTAAACAAATTGCAGACGTAAAAAGAATTCTCATTTGGTAGGCAAGTATGCCATTTAC